CTGAAATAGGATTGTCATATTAAATTGATTCACTATTTTTTTTGTTACCTCGTAAACAGAGAAACGAATTTGAGCTTGAAATTTACCGTGGAACAAAGTTGCCATGAAACGATTATGAACACACTGTCAATAATTGAATTCTCCAATTTTTTTTCGATCAGAATCGTAGTTTAGAACATTCGCAATAAAACTGAAATTTAAAGAAAAAAAAGGGGGAGAGGGAACAGTGCAGTCCAAAAAAAGCACAATCTGGATTCCTTGTTTCCAATATAAATATACCAAATAAACCCGTGAATCGTGTAAAAAAAAGAGAAAAAAAGAGTGAAAAAAATGCACACTTATGACGAGGATGGCAAATTATCGAAGTGCTTTGTAACATTCGCCGGTAGATATTGTAACCGTGATTAAATGCGCGTCCACGTGAGCCCAGGTGACTGTGATTAAGTTCATCGCACAAAGAGCATCCTCGGTAGTTCTTGTAGATAAGTTTCGAGGGCTTTAATAGACATTCGTATCATGAGAGCACCATTAACTCTAGATTACAGCGCTGTGGTATTTACACAGCCCAGGGGCGTAACGTAATACGTGCCGAGTCCCTTCCCTCTTCTCAACCCTTGTGCTTTTGACCAGGTTCTCTCTCCCTCTTTCTCTCTGTACGCGTTCTCCTTCTCCCTTGTTCGTCCTCCGCGTGATGCCCTCTCCGTCGATCCTCCACCTTCTCTATCTCTCCCTCTCTCTAGCTTTCTATCCCTCGTGCCATCACCGCATCATCCCTATTTGCTCGACTATCCCCTCGAAATGTATCACTTCGCCTCATTTAATATCGTGGGACGTAGCCCGTAGTAACGCCATTGTTCTCGCTAACGGTGGATCACGGCTAAAATAATACCTGCTAATGGCTCCTGGTTTTAAACTGACAAACACGGGCCACGAGTGTAATAATATAATGCGAGATAACCCGGTACAATGGTATAGTTGTTCTCGCGCGCTGCTCTTTATTTTGCCTGCTTATACGACCCGCGGTAAATTCATCGCGCGTTCGCGTTACGGGGGGACGATCTCTTTGAGCAGGGAAAACCGGCAGGGAACGGTCAACCGAACAGAATTGACGTGAACAGTGGCGTCACTTTGCAAGCTTGTAAAATGTAAAACTTGCGAATTAGTATCTCGATGATGATTTACGTGAAAGACACGAGTACGCGGTGTTTCGAGAACGCGTCGATGTTAGCTAGAAGAATGCACAATCGAAAATATACGTTCCCATTTGAAAAACTTGAACGCGACCTTTATAGGGCTTTTCAAGATCACTGCAACGTGCAAAAAAAATAGTAGAACGATATAGCGCCCTCTATAACCTACAACTTTCGTCTGAAATGTTTTTTTGTATCGTTCGTAGATTTTCTGAGATAAACCGGACATACTGTAGATAAGAAACGAGTGGTTTTGTTCCTTATTCTTACGTAGTTTTTAAATCTTGCTATTCGGGAAAATTTAGTAGCAGATTGCGGCATTAATTACAATCGGTGGGAACAACGTACGCATAATATGCGTCTTTAGTAATTAAATCGTTGCTGCCTTTTTTACGAGACGAAAGTGTTTTTTTTTTTTTTTATGGAACATTTACCGGCAGAGGTAGCACGGTTCTTGCGAAATTAAAAACTTTACAGGCTCGTTCATTTCGGCTTTTTAAGCGGCACCGGTGGAAAAAAGCCTCGTGAAACACGAACATATTCGAATGGCGTTTTCATCTCGCGCACGATCCCGCGAATGCTCCGTCATAAAATCCCGACCCGATCTTCGAAGTACGTCTAGAAACGTTTTTATTATTTCCTGTTCCCGCGTATTATACCGTGGTATAATTTCACGGGCGGCGAGAAAAAGGAAGAAAAAAGCGTGGGAGGGAAAAGAGAACGAAGACGAAGTACGTTGCACGCGGCTATGCACCCGACACAGCAGTAATTTGTAGTTTTTACGAGAAATTCTATATTTGCCCGAGCTTTCATTAACCCGCTCGCGCTAACCGAGCTGCGACACGGTAATAAGGGTTGCATGAGCAAAAGGGGTTCAACAGCCGACTGAGCGCAGTTATGAGTCGGTAACAGGCGAAAAGCAGGGTCACTGTTAGAAAAAGCGAGGAAAAGAGCGAACAAGTGAGAGAACTTTCTGCTGTTAATTAATTATTTCCGTGAAAAATACCGGTGGAAGCAAACCTTACATCGAACGAAACGAGAAACGAAAGAAGACACGTGCTCTATTTATCAAGAAGCCTCTTTCTTTCAGAAAGAGAATTTAACAGGACACTCGTGCTAATATTTCTTCACCGACAGATTTTTATTAAGAAAATGTCTATCGGTCGGATGGGATTTTCTATCTGAAAAGGTGGTACTGGTTCGTGACGTCACACCTCTATCTTCAAGTCAAAACGACTTGTGGAATAAATTTGAATTTTCTCGATCACATGGTAATACGATTCACTCGATTACTTACTGATTTGAATATTATTATTAACATACGTCTCCCACGATGTTGAAATCATTTTTAAACACGGTAATATTGTTCTCGGTGCTTTTCACGTTCGAGAAATTCAACTGTTATTCGTATCGAAAGAAACCTTGCTACACCATTTTTACGATTCATTGTGTACATACATTATTTTGTCACTTCAAACGAATATATTTAGAGACGACATATAAAAATCACGTGAACGAAAAATTATCTACGATAGAATCATAACCATCACTTACGTTCAATGTGTCTGAGTATGTAAGTACAAGTTAGAAGTGTAAATCCATTGGTAGGAATAGTGAAATTGCCAGCTGCGCAGTTCGCAGAACGATGGATGCTGCATGGCAGGATACAGGAAGAAAAGTGTAGACAGGATATCTTGAGAACTTAAGTACTCGAATAGATCTTCCGACACCTATTGGTATCTTGTCCGTAGCGCGCACGAGTGGCGCTCGTTTCTCGAGTTACAAAACTTCGCTAGCCAACGGCCGTGCCTAAAACAATATTGGCGGGGGTAACGGGGGCCCGCGCGACCCCTATACATTAGATATTTATTTAAGACCGTCCGACACGGCTGCTTTGCGCTTGTTCACCGTGGAATTCGTGGTTCGTATACGTGCAAATACATATACACGACGTGCAGCTCACTGACGAAGGTACCAAGTAGTCGGGGACTAAGTACCCCAAACCCAAAATGTTGACCTAGTTAATAGCCTCATGTTTGATTTGACTACTGTTGTCCGGATAAGCGGTCCCGTAATGCGAGCTCCGTGCTTTTGTTATTATCGGTCGTGAAATTCAATACTATTGAAATTATCTTCAATTAGGGATAGTGACACTCCTTTCTTTCTGTATCTTCATTTTTTTTTAGTGGATTGGTACTATTGATACGTATTGTGGAAATACGTCTTACTACGTCTTTTTGATTGTACAGGTTGAACGATCTTTTAACTACTTTATTCAAATGTGTACTTCAAAAATATGTTCAGTATAAATGTAAATAACGTAAAGCGTGTTTAACAATCTATTTTACGTGTGTAAAAGGAATCACGTTGTAAATGTCACTGATACCGTAAATTTTTAAAGCAGTAAGTAAATTTAATTTAGCACGAAGAAAAGTCAGACCAATAGGAAACTAATACAATATTCTACGGAGCGTGCAGAATTTAATTCGCGAACCTTAATGAGGATTCACGGAGTTGCGATCAAGTTTAACGGAGGAAGTTCGTAACTCGTTGTTTTTCAATTCCGTAAAGTACCTAATGCAAATTTACGTTTTCCACATTAGCGTTCACCGTGACAGGGCAGGTGGAAATAAAGGAGTGAAAGATCGAAAAAACAATGATCAGACGTAAAATAAACGTTTCACAATTTTCATGATAAACGATAAATTAAACATAAACTTTCGTAATTGATTATGCTGAATTTAATTTAAATTGCAACTTGTACATCTTCCTAATAATCCTATGCACTATAAACAGTATACACATGTATAAAAATTTTTCGGTTCGAATATAGGTTATTTAACACTTTTTCGATTCGGATGTAGATTATTTAACACTTTTTCGATTGGAATACAGATTACTTAACACTTTTTCTAGTCGAATATAGGTTATTTAACACTTTTCCGATCAGCGACAAGCACTCTAACAGCACGCACATAAACACAACGTAATTTTGCGAACATTTCAGTGACCGATCAAACGTTGCGACTTGTTTCACGGTACTAGTCGTTAAAAATTGAACAGAACCAAAATCCCCGGGGGGGCACAAAAGCTAGAAACCAAAACTCGGAAGCCAACGAAAGCCATTGATCCTAATACAGAAGGAAGCGATCACTCGGTCGGACGATCAATGAAGAGAGAGAAAAAAAGGACTTTTCGCAAGCCGACTTACACGTCTCAGTGACGATGTAACGACTTCACAATTCGAGCTGAGGCTTGTTAATCCTCCACCCGATCGATCGAGCCAGGATTCATGCTGTTTACCCGAAATACCCGCAAACTCCCTTTTTCAATGCTGCACTTTCAGCTGCACTTCCTTTCAAGTGAAACGCCCTATGCCATAACTCGACTTGTAAGTTTCTCTATTCAAGAATTTTACACTACTAATACGAATATAAAGACAAAATTTAGCTTTAAAATAATTTTGTAGAACGAAATATTGTAAAAACTAAACATTCTTCGATACTGTCGTGTTATCAGTCAAATTTGTTCTATCTTGTGACTGATTATATTAAAAGAAATGTAATTGCATAATTAATCGTAATATATGCGCATTTTCAATTTATATGAATTTCTATATATTTTATGAATGCTACGATGCCTTCAAATTCCATCTGTGCAAACGATTAGGTTGCCTATAGAGCGGTTAACGTGCAGTGTACAAACATTTCGACATTCTTTTATGTAACACGAAAGCATGTCTCTTACGGTTCTTGACACTGAAAGAAGCGAATCTTTGTAGTTACCCCCGCCGTTATGGTTCAGAAGAGTTTAACCTGAATGCGTGAATAAATTTTTAAACTAGTATTTATGCATTTTATCGAAAAGGGAAAAGATTATAGAATAATTTATTTTTCTTAAAACATGAAATAATTATACAATTTTTTTTTGCATCAACCTTTTTGTCGACCAGTTTTAAGTATTTTATTATTTCACAAATCCTTAAACGATTCAAAACGTTTTAATAGATTAAATTTATGGATATGGTAGAGGTATATTTCTGCACTCTGTCTTCATTCGGTTTTCTTTTTCTCTACCCCCGAATGGCGCGATTGCTATTCAGATATTCGAACCGCGGGGCTTTAATAAAAATATTTGCTAAGAAAACAGTTTGCCCGAGGTACCCAGGAAGCAAGACGAGTTATTCTTATATCCAGATTCGCGGCGTATTCTTCGCCCACGATTTCCATAAATGCAGTAATTCGAAATAAGACAGCCGTCAGCACTTTTAACTTTTTGATTTGTATTCTTATACTTTCGTAAATAAATATTAAATAAATTTATCAATAA